TGAGTCTTTTGGGCACGCCTTATTTAAATCCTTATAGTCTACGCATATGCAGAATTTATTATTATTCTTTGGAACTACTACTACGTTAGCTAGCCAATCAGGATACTTTACCTCTCAGATTGAACCAATATCAAGTAAGCGAGTTACCTCTTCTTTGAAAAATTTGTTCCTGACCTTGGCAATAGGATATTTTTTCTGTCTTACCGGAGGGATGTTGGGATCCAGGCTTAGTCTGAGCACGGCCACTTTCGGCGGGATACATGTCATATCCGCATGCGACCATGCAAAATAATCGACATTGATTTTAAGAAATTCGATAAATCCATACCTGAGCTCGGGGTGTAGTCCTGTCCCCAAGTGGAACTTCCTCTCCAAGACATTTTCTAACAATGCTAGTTGTTCAAGTTTTTCTGTTGTGGATTTTGTTGCGTTTATCTCTTCTGGTACCTGGAAATATCTTGGTACTTGATAGGATTCCGATGACTCCTCCCTCTGGTTGACTTCGTTCGACTCGGGAGCAAGCGTCGGTTCCTATAATTGCTATGCCGCGTGCTCTTTCCCTTTGTTACTGCAAACTGATATTGCATTTATCTCCCTTGATGCCGATTGGTCACCTATTATTTGTTTAATTCTCTCGGGAGTTGGGAATTTCAGCACTGATGATATCTTGATGGCACAGCCTTCATCTCATGCAACCACAGCCTCCCCGGGATAATATTATAGCCCATATGTCCACCACCTCAAAAAGGGTCGTCTTCATCACCCCCTCGGCATTTGTGGGAAGAAAGATCTCTCCTCAAATTTTCACACTTGCCGGGTTGAACCCGGCGAGGAGTTTTGTGGCCGCGATCAGTTCTCCTATCGATAGAGAATCTATCCATCGACCGAAAACTTCTACCGCATCCTTCAGCCTGCTCATAAGGCAAAAATCGTCCCCTTGAAGACCGCTAATCTGTGTCAAAATCATCCTTTAATTTCTCTTTATTCTTTTCCCAGTCTCGTCCTTTAGTTGATGCCGGAAAGCCGAGCTGGTCATCTTCAATTCTTACCTTTGACTTGTACCGGTTGTGGACATCCGCCCATGTTGTTACCTGGAACTCGAGCAGACTTTCTTTTAATTTTTAGGAAGCATCATAACTTCTCAGATTCAACCCTTTAGTAAATGCTTCAGTTGCCCATTCGTCTCGCACAGCCGGGAGCAGCATCTTTTTTTTCTGGAATCGGGTTACAAACTTCCGCAATAATTCAAACTCCCCTTGTGCAATCCTGAATATGTTGGCCTTTCGAGCTTGTACCTTTCTGGGCCCAGCATGGGCCTTAATGAAAGAATTCGTGAGTATCTCAAAGGAATCTATGGAATGCTCGGGCAAGAGTGAATACTACGCCAGGGCCCCCTTATGAGGGTCTCTCCGAATTTCTTTATTAAGACTGACTCAATCTCGTGGGGAGCCAAATTGTTTCCCTTCACCGCTATTGTATAGGTGGTGACATGATCCTGAGGATCTGAAGTCTCATCATACTTCGGCACGTCTGGCATTTTGAACCTCTTCAAGATCAACTCTGGTGTCGCGCTTGATTTGAATGGCAGTTGGGTGTACTTCTTTGAATCCGGTCCTTTCAATACTGGTGGTGCGCCTGGAATTTGATCCATTCGGGCGTTTATTTCCCTCATAAACCGCTTGAGTTCAGTTTTAAAATGATCAATCTCATTGTTGTTACCGAATCCGCTACCGTTCCCCCCGGCCCTGTCAAAGCCGACTTCACCCCTCAGGATGTTATTATCGACCCTCTGCGTTGTTTGATTTGCGGGAGCACCGGGAGGAACTGACCTTGTCCATTTGCATTGTTGGAAGCACCCGACAACGCCTGCCTTAATTCCGCCATGACCTGATCCTGTCACGAGAGATGGCCCATAATGGCCCTTTGTTGTTCCCTCAGGATCCTTACTATTTCAACAACATGCTCGTCTTCAGTATCATCAGGAGTTGTCTCTAGAACATGTCATGGATATTGCCCGTCGTGAACCGGCGTGGCCTCACCCCCTTTGTTGCGGGTATCGCTGATGGAATCTTCATGCTGAGGCTGATTTCCTTGGGCCTCAATGTTGCGTGCGATGTTGACATCATTATCTGCCATTTTTGATGATTTTTACTAAGAACAAAATATCAAACAAGTTAGTAATAGATGCACGGATCAATTCAATTACATAACTGTCTATGCCCCGCGTTGGGCGCCAAACTGTTTACCCGTAAAATGGTACAGTTGAATTTATACGTAGTTTATAGACAAGTGAAGAGATTTGATCCTAAAATAATGAATGAATTGGACAAAAAATGTAAGACTTAGCGCCAAAATCGAGATAAGACAATAAAGATCTTGAGCCTGGGAACAAAGCTTCTGGAGGCAGTAAGAGCAATATAAGTAAGCAAGAAAGTAAAATATTATTGAACTTTTAACAAAGTATAGTGTAGGCTTGCTAAAAAATTCGTGTCCTTTACAGTGATGGTAGAGCTCACTATTTATAGTTGCACCTAGGGAACAAGGTCCTAGGATCAAGCCCCTCTTAAATGACAATTATGAGGGCCATTGAAGAATATGTAACGGTAGGCAGTGGATGTCATATTATCTGTAACAGACCGTTCACTTAATGCTATAGAATATTCTTCATTAAATGCTACCGGGTGGTAGACATTTATTTTGTCTTTATGAATATCATTCTCTCAGATAACAAGCGAAATTATTACCTTCGGGCCCGACTGTCTTCTGTTTTCGGCTCCACGTGTCGCTTTCTCATGTGATCCTTAAATATGACCATATTTTACCCTATACAATAATATTATTTATTTAAAAGATACTTACTACTTTTAAGATATTATTTATTAATTTATAATTATTTAATATATTTCGATAGGTAAATCTAAAAAATATTTATTTAACTATGTAATTATACTTGTCTAATTAAATATGATACTGAAAATTACATTGTAATTATATTATAGCAAAGAAACAAATTATTGTAATTACTATATTATGTAATTATTAGGGTATAAAGTTACTAGTTACTAGGATAGTAATTACACAACCAAGTTATTACACATGGCTTTCTGAACACCCTTTGTCTGCGATAAGAGCCTTTAGAATTGTCTTTTTATTTTTAATTTTAATAACCCACGTGTCAATCAGACAATTACATACACGACAATGAACAGACGTGTAATTTGACGTTGTAACTGTCACTTTATTAACGTTTGTTTTGTAGTTTTGTAAGGTTAAGAACTCTTCCCGATTTTAACGCCGTTATTTATCTTCGGTTCTCCGTTAGCCACTGAACTTATATCAACATTATACTACTCCTTGTTTCTAAAGGACAAAAAAAATTGAGGTAGTAATGGTAGAACAAAAAGTGCCCAAATAAAGGAATATGTTGATGCCGCGTAGGACGAACATGGTATCTTGCGTGGCATGTGATGCAAACCATTGCCACTTATTTTTGTAAGGGCCCGTAATTTTCACTTTTCCTCGAAATTTGGTCATGAAAATTTTAAATTTCACTTAAAGTTGAATTTTAAAATTTTTCAAAAATAAAAACTCAAAAAAATTATTTTTCAAAATTTTCACTTCAAATCACTTGCAAATATTAAAAAATAGTTCCAAATTGTATTCATGTCCAAAACCCAAATCTAATTTTCAAATACCATTTTTAATTTTTTAAAAAAATTATTTTTTTCCGAAATTTCACAATTCTTATATCCAAACGCCCACTTAATAACTTGAAAACATATACTCCGTATTATAGTCCGATTTTAATTCATAGAAATAACTATTCGTGAAATGATTAATTGCATGTGTTTCTCTTGAATTTTATCTATAATAATTTTTATTTCTCTTGAATTTTAGTGTAATTAATTTTTCACTTTGCTATTCTTGTCTGCTCTTTTATTAACTATGAAAAAGAAAAGTAAAACTAGCTAAGATCTGTAGGTACGTACTCAAAATATGTTATAGCTTCAAGCATTAATTCACTTTCATTTAAATAAACATTAGACTTACCCTTTTGTAGATTTAAATACTTTATTACTTTGGTATCTAGATAGTTTGATGCTTGATTAATTAGGAAATTATTTAACTATGATGACAATCAAAGTTACCCAGAAGATAACCATTACTTACAAAATTACAATTTAAATCGTAATTACGCAATATCATCAGTTCATTTATATTTACTATTTTTTGGGTACCACATAATTATATTAGTATTATTAAAATATGTGTTGGGATAGATATGATCTCTTTACTTTTAAGTAAAGATATGAGTTCGAACCCAAAAAATAAAAAAAATTCATTATTCGGAACACTCTCCTCTTAAATGAATTAAAGCGGTGTGGATCTGAATTAATTGGAGCAGTAGGTTCTGAGTACCACACACACACACACATATATATATATATATATATATATATATATATATATATATAAATTAAAAATTAACCCCACACTTTATACGAAAATAAAATGAAAAGTTTCTCTGCTCCAATTTTATCGGACACTTGAAGGACAATTTAAAAGACACAAAAAAAGCTTTAAAAAGAAAATTCGCTCATCCAACATTTTATTTGATCGTGTATAAACCAACCAAAACCAACCGATCCGTCTGTCCGTCCACGTGGCATCATCTTCCAAACTAGCAGAATTCATATGGGCCCACCATTTGGCAAAGAACCGGTCTTTTGGTAGTTTTTTCACCAATGACCTGCTATTGCCAGTGTACTTACCGGTATTTACCGATTGTTCCAGTCATCGGTGTCAAAGTGTATAAAAAACTGGGGTTTTAGGCAATGTTTAGGTGGTTTTCAGAGGGTTTTTGGGCCATGAAAGAATTAATTGGTTGAAGAATTATTTTATTTTATTTTTTTTGCTTTTCACAATATTTGGTTACCAAGTAAGTGGGAAAAAATTCATAATTATGTGATATTTTTGAATTCTTGATTTTCTTTTTTAGTTTTGGCTGTTGAATTTTCCTGCCATTTTCATTTCTTGCATTTTGTTTTTTGCATTTAAATATTGTAAGAATAACTATTTCATGGGAAATTGTGGGATTATGAAGGGAATTATTGTGGATTTTCTGCAATATGACATATTACAGAGTTTTTTTTTAATATTTGGAAATCAAGATTTTTGTTTTCTGTTTGGCTGTTGAATTTTTCTGCCATTTTCATTTGTTGCATTTAAATTTTGTAAGAACATGTATTACATGGTGAATTCTTGATGAAAAATATGTCTGTTTTAAGGTGATGTGATTCATTTGTTTCATTGCACAATTTTCATAAAGTTCCAATCTTTGTTCAACACTCATTTTTGGTAAGAATGCTTATTTTATGGGTTTTGAGGGGGAATTATGATGAAAATTTGGTTGGTTTAAGGTGATGTGATCTATTTCTTTGTTCTTTGATTGCATAATTTGCATAAAGTTCCAATCTTTGGTTCATAGCCTTTGTTGGGTTTGAGAGTGCACTGGGTAAAATTTCAAGAATACTTCACCTTAAAGCTTTTCCCTTTCTTCTAACTTCTTTTCAGAATTTGGTCCCCAAAAAGCTTTTCTGTTTCTTCTGTGAAAATCAGGGTGTGTCTTAGATTATATCTATTGATCTTTGTCCAATGAATTCTGGATTTCCTAGGTTGGGTATATCATATTTCTAAATTCTTTTTCCTTAATTTTCCCTCCAATCTTTGATTTTGGGGTTTTGGTGTGTTGGGATTCATGGATTTCCTTTGAGGTGCTATCTGTGCGGATATTCTTTATGAGGGGTTTTGGCCCCCCTTTTTTTATCTATTTCATTTAGATTTGCATAATTTACTTTCCCCTCATGAGAAAATGGCTTCTTTCCTCCTCTATTCTTTTTCCTTTTCTTCTATTTAAAAACCAACCGGCTTCTTTTCCTCCTCTACCAGAAGTGGTTTAAGAGTTTAATCATTACTTCTAAGACTTCTCATCAAACATGTCATGTTGGAAGTACATTAACGCTTTTTTTCTTTCAATCGAAACATATTTCTTTTTTCTTTCAATCTAAACATATTTCTTTCTGTCATAATGAAGGTGAAACTTACTTTGTGTATTTAATGCGTGGAAAAGCTTGAACCCGAAATTGGAGGGAATAGCTTTTTCTTGAATTATGAAATCAAGATCAGAACTTTTCTTGTATGTTTTCAGCCCTCATAGTTAAAATTTTACGCTTTCACTTGAAATTTACCTTTAGTTGAAAGGATATTGTGACAGTTATAGTTATGATTAAAAATCTAAGATTGATCGACTTTCTTTGTGCTTTGATGCATTCTGTTGTGTTTCCTTTTTTATTCCCTGATTTTCTTTATACCATTGTGCTTAACTTCCAATACTTTTACTTCATGATTTGTGATCTGGCAGGTTTCTTCTTTAGATTAGTTGGAATACTTGGCACGCTTGACCGATGATGTATAGATATAAGGTTTTTATACTGTAAAGTTGATCAAAGGCTGCTGTGTTATTTGAATGTTTAGTCCTATGGTTTCTGAGATATGGTGTTGCATAAGAGGTTAGATTATGGATTTAATGGCTATCAGGTCCCTCCTATTCCTCGAGCTACCAGATCAGCTAGGGTAACATAACCTCACTTTTCAAATGAAATTATTTTGCCTTACGCTTTTTCGGCTTGATGGACTCATTCTAATCTTATTTCACTGTCAATCTTTTTAGGGAAGAGGCAATATTAGGAAGAAATCTGATGGCAATGAAATGTGTGCTTTTGACTTGTTGACTACTGTAGCCGGGAAGTTACTGCTGGAAGGAGAAAGCACTCCAAATTCTACTAAGACCGTTAAAGAGGATGAAGATACATCTTTAAAGGAAAAATTTTATAATGAAGGTATTCGAGAGCGGGGGTTCTTCATTTCTCCGATTGTCTCAGAAGCTCCTGTTGTAAATCATTGTTTAAGCAAGTCGAAGGATACGTTATCTGGACCAGCATCTGTAATTACAAGTTCTGATTGCTCGGAGAAGTTGGATTCTGCAGAGCAATTCATAAATTGTGAAAGCAAAAATGAAACCGGGAACTGTTCTACTAGGGCGGAGCATGAGGCATCTGGTTCTGGAGATTTTTCTAGTTGTACATTAGGCGCTGAAAGTAAAAAACATATGAAAATTGATGTGTCAAATAATGCAAAGATTTTCAGCTCAGAGTTTCTTGATCTTTGGGATAGGAAACCTACAAATCTTGTTGCTTCGATACAACACTGTAAAATTATCTCTTTCTACTGACCCTGATCCTTTTGGGTCATTTCCGGTGATCCGGAATGATGTAAAGTTAGCTACCAAAGATGATGACGAAAATTCTTGTGGGTGCGCTCAACCTAGCACCAGAAATAAGGCCTTCAGGCCAACACCACGTGTCGGAGATTTTAGGATGAGGAAGTTAAGGGACGTAAATCCTAAATTTGAATATAAGGGACATGTCAATGTTGGTGAGTGTTTTTTCTTTTTAATTGTTTTTTTAAGTTCTGATCTTCAGTTTTAACTTGCTGGAATTTGACATATCGAGAATCTCTGCAGATAGTGAAACAGGGCATGCATACCAGAACAGGTCTCAGAGGGATTTTCCTTTCAAGAAAAGAAAGCTCTATTATTGTAACTCGTTTTCTAATTCTGATGGAGGGAGTAGTGATAGAATATGTAGTTCTCCAACAAAAGACATAAATAGAGATGCCGCCGGTTATAGTCTAGCATCTTCAGGAGGTATGTTGTTCTCTTTTGAAATCTTTGCCTACATTAATAGACATGCACATAAATCATATTCATTAATTGCACATGTCGACTTTCTGACAGCCTGTGCAGTCGCTGGGACATCAATCTCCAGAGGAGCTCGTTCATCATTCAGGTCTAGCGATTCCCATGGTGAGAAGGCATTCTTTGGAATAATCAATGATTCTTTTGTATTCCTTGGTGTTTTTCTTATTGTAGAATTTCTGATTATACAAAGATGTTTTTTCCTCAGTGAAGCTCAAGATCAAGTCTTTCAGAGTTCCTGAGCTTTTTGTTGAGATTCCGGAAAATGCAACGGTTGGTTCTTTAAAGGCATGTACAAGCATTAATTCACCTAAATAAGGTTTTATTTCAGTACTGCAGCAGTCTTGTTTTTTCCAGATTTCCAACATAGAAATTCACTCTTTCATATTCTGCAGAGGACCGTAATGGAAGCAGTGACTGCAATACTTGGCGGTGGGCTGCACATTGGTGTAATTTTTCAGGGTAAGAAGGTTAGAGATGACAACAAAACCTTATTGCAGGCTGGAATTTCACATGATGACAAACTTGATGCTTTGGGTTTTACCCTGGAGCCTAAGCACTCTCGAGCTTCCTCAACTCTAGGTCCAGAAAGCCATTCTCATGTACTTCCTTGTGACACACCTCAACCACTAACAAGGTATTTCATATGCTCAATGAACTCCGATTGGCGTTAGTTACATTGTGGTCTTAAGTTTCGGTCTTTCACTAGTTTAATTTGGTATTCAATTAGCTGTAGGATTGTGATTCTATGAGGCTGGTGCTGGTTTCAGTTTACCAATGAGTTATATTTGCAAATGTATACATGCCGTAATTATGTAGTTAAAATCTCCAACTGCTTTCTATATCTGCTGTCGTTTTTTTGTGGAAACTGCCAGGTAGTTATTGTGGAGTCTTTAGTTTTTTAATCCAAGTTGGAAACACGGTTAAATTTGTTAGAGAACTTTTAATACTATTACTATTATTTATTTATTCATTATTATTACTATTATCTATATATATTTTAACTTATTTTCACCACTACTATATTTTTTATTTTTTTTTTGGCATGATGATGTTATGAGTGAGCTTAAAGAAAGAAGTGAGGATTCATATCGCGGACCTCAACTCTGTTTGGGACTGAGGCGTAGTTGTTGATTTTGGAAACATAGTCACTAAAACTGTCTAGAATCAAAAGTGTTGATTATTTTGTCCAATACTTCGTAACAGGGGCCCGCCTACTCCTGCTGTAATTTGTAATGGCATACGACAGGGAACATATAATGCCTTCTCAGATCATCCGGAAACAAATCTGAGTAACTTCATTGAAAGCGATCATGATTCAGCTCCATCCCCTCCTGATGCCTCACTGGAGAAAGATGCTGCAGATTCAAGAGCATTGGTTCCAGTTGCTGCAGTGAATGCAGAAGCTTTGGATGTAGTTCCAATGCGAAAGCCCAAGCGATCTGAAACCGCACAACGTCGCATCCGCAGACCGTTTTCTATTTATGAAGTGGAAGCACTTGTTCAAGCTGTTGAGAAGCTTGGAACTGGAAGGTATACTTATTAAAACCACATCTCTGAACTGTGTAGAGCACACAGCAGCATAAATGAGTTATACTCACTTAAGTTGTTATCATCTGAACAGTTGTATGGAAATGCTGACTTTAATAATCCTATGTCCCCTTTCTGTAATAACTTTATAGGTGGCGTGATGTCAAAATGCGAGCTTTTGATAATGCCAAACACAGAACCTATGTCGATTTAAAGGTACAAAACTGCAGTTCTCTTGCATCTCGACTACTCTTAATATTTTCCCACCAGTTTCTATCTCAGGCTTCTTTTCTCACTTAGCTAGTTATTTTTTCCACATTTAAAAATGTGAATTGTGAGGAATCTTGGGGCTCGGTCTGCTTGGTCTCAATTAAACCTCAACGTGACTCGGCTTCGCTTAGTCAAAGCTCAGGCTCGGTCGAGCTGGCTTGATTAGTCGTGCAATTTTGTTTTGAAAATTAAGTTTGTTCCTTATGTTTAATATAGTTCATGCTCATGATTCTTTAGGACAAATGGAAAACACTGGTGCACACAGCAAGAATATCTCCTCAACAAAGGAGAGGTGAGCCTGTGCCTCAGGAACTTCTTGATAGGGTACTCATTGCTCATGCTTACTGGTCCCAAAAACAAGCTAAGCAACATATGAAACATCAATCCGAGACGCGTCTTTTGCTTTAAAGAAGGTTGTAAAGGATAAACTGGCTGCAGAAACTGGAGAAAGATAAGTAAGTAGATGGGGTTTGGAGAATTTTTTTGATTTGTTAATAATAATATTTTGTAAGTGTAAAGGTTATAACCAGGGGAAGTAAATTAGTTAAATTACATTTAGCAAGGAAGTTGGGGTTGGTACTTGTACATGTTTGAAAATAAAGTGCTCGCTAACACAAATTTTTGTATGGGGGTTTTGTAATTTTGCTTAAATTGTTGGGTTTTTTTACAAGAAATTCTTATCTTGGCAATTGTAGTTTATTGTTCAATTTGTGTAATAGAAAGGGAGAAAATTGATGTAGTTGTTTTATAGTGGCCTATTTGATTGTATAAACTTGGTTTCAGTTTCTTGTAGTGAATCTCCACTTCTTTTACATAAAAAAATTTCAATTCAAGACTACATTTTTATTTTTTAGACAGATGAATCTTCTTTAGGTTCATTTTCTGTACTTTTAATACTACTGTTTCTGAGGTGCTATTATAGTGCAAGTAATATGACTGCAATTGTTATACATTTGGTAGGTTGATTCTCCCTCCTTTCCCCCACCCCAAGAAAAAAGAAGGTTCCAAGTTATTTATATTGACATTGCAAAGTTTTTTTAACGAACTATTCCGAGTGAGTGGCTATCGACACAATATAGGCTCTTAGTAATGGACCTGGAGATTAAGAGAAAGAGGAAGAAAAGAGCGGCGTATGGTCAACCCAAGATCAAGTGGGGAGCTTTGACTAAGGACAAAGCTCATGAGTTGTGGGAAAAGTTGGTGGCTATGGGGACTTGGAGGAGTAGTGGGAACACGAGTAATATGTGGACCACGGCAGTAAACTGTATTAAGGAAGCTGCTAGAGAGGTGTTACCGTGTTAGGGGTCACGAATGGATACGCGGGAGGCCACAAAGGGGACGGGTGGTGGAATAAAGAAGTCCAAGAAAAAGTGAAAGCCAAGAAAGCAACATATCTGAAGCTAGTGGAGAGCGTAGTGGAGGAGGAGAGGGGGACGAGTAGGGAGTGTTATAAGAAGGGTAAGAAAGAGGCAAAATTAGCGGTCACGACGGCTAAGACTGCAGCGTTTGGGCGCCTATATGAGGATCTGGGAGTAAAGGCAGTGATAAGAGACTGTACATGTTAGCTAAGGTTAGAGAGAGGAAGGCTCAAAACTTGGATCAAGTGAAGTGCATTAAAGAAGGCTAGATTCGCACGTGTATAAAGCATTTTGATAAGAGGCAGGGCATGGGGTGGGACACTGTGGTGGGCCACTGTTTAAAAAAAATTAAATTGTAAATAGACATTTAATTATGTTATCTTGAATTATTTTTCTACAAAAACAGATAGAAAATGTCTTAAAGGTTACTGAATATAATTACAAGATATAAAGTGCTCAGAATAATGTTTTATGAGAATTTTTGCACCGTAGGTAGGTAGAGTCAGTGAAATTTCATTAAATATATTCAAGATTTAATATGTATGTATACGTAACTAATATAATATTTCGATAAAATGCGACGAAATATGCAAGTAACTATTATAGCTTCGCCTTGTGTGGAGTCCCTTCTATCATGACGAATCCAAAGTTCCCAACTCTTTTTAAAAAAAACGTGTTTGTATATAACAATGAAAATGGACAGCTCTTATTTGAGAAATATTGGTTAGGTTCTTATGGAATATGCTTTATAGATCATAAAAATTTGAATAGCATATAATATATAGATGCCAAGATATGCAAAGTAGGCCCTTCAAATTCAAAATAGTGGTGGCCTTGATGGGCATCCTATTGACCCATGTGAAAACAGAAAATGATTGCTCCTATTTTCACCTTTATTTTTTTCCCACGTAGTATTGAATTAATATCGACTAATTCGGATTCGTGCCGGAAATTCTGTTTAAAGGTAAAATATTTTTTATTGAACGTAACATTTTATTCGAGACTCGAACCCGAGACTTCTGATTAATAATAAAAGAACACTATTTTCATAAAAAGGTATTTTTGTCTTCTCTTTGCTTTTATGATAGTTGACTAAAATTTCTGATATTGAAGGTGCCAATTATTAGGTTATTATATTTTCCTATAATCCGATATCTTTTGTTTTTATTTTCAGAGCATATTTTTGTCTTTTAAAATTGATCAATTAATTCTTGAGAAACCGACTACTGTAAGATTTTAGTAGTTAAATGGGCAGAAAGCACGAATGAAGTTACGTACTCCCCCCCTCCTCTCTAATTTTTTATCCCAAAAAATGAAAAAATGAAAAAATGGAAGCAAAAAAGCAAAAAGCAAAAAGAAAAGGACATCCGCAAGACAGCGAAAGGATAGAGATGGGATATATGTCATTTTCTATCATAAAATAGGATTAAAGAAAACATCTATCTTCAACCTTTAATTTTCGTCCACAAATAAAGATAATTCCTTTGAATTTAATAATACACCCTGTAGGCATATAAATTTTATTAAAATTAAATCCATAAAATAATTTAAATTATATTTTAAAATTCAAGATATATTGGTCCACATAATTATTATGGACTAATATAATTGAATTAATTATATAAGTCCAATATATATAAATTAAATAAATTAGTCTTAATCCATTTGGCTAGCCCATTTAATTGGGCCAAAGTGATGAGCCCACTTCATTAAGCCCGAGATGTCATCTTCCTAGAGGCCCAATTCCACGCCAAGTCAAGCGAAAGAGCCAATAGGATCATGCCACGTGTCAAAATGACAAGGCATACCAAGTCACATTAAAAGGCCAATGAAATCGCGCCACATGTGCAAGTGACATGTTCTGGCCAATCAAATACGGTCATGTCATACTTCAATTTGATTGGTCGGAAAGAGTTTGTTCTTATCATAACTCTTCCCTCCCACAACTATAAATAGGGGTCTTCATAACCCAGAAAAGACAACAGAAGTTATAACAAGAAGTAAGAAAGAACTCGTGGATCAAACGCTGCAAATTCCTCCACAAGTTTTAAGCTTCAAGCAATCAAGTTCAAGTTCAAGCTCAAGAACGAAGAACAAATCAAGTTCAAGTTCAAGCAATCAAGCTCAAGCTCAAGAACGAAGAACAAATGAAGATTCAAGGAGTACGAGTTCAAATCAAAGTTTGTGCTAGTTGAATTCAAGATCATCGTTCGTGACAACAAATATAGGTTCAACATCAAGCTCAAAGGCCCTTGAATTTATTTACTATTGAAAAGAAGAACCAGAGGATTCATAGAGATTGTACACTCAAATTATTTGAAATCAAATACTACGATTGTTACAAT